ATTATCTAAACTAATTATAAATCCTAGAAACTTTACTCTTTCTATATTAAACTTATATTTTGCCAAGTTTATAAAAAGCTAGTATTATTATAACTACTCGAATATATATTAGATTACTATTATATATTATTTTAGATCTTCTAAATAAATTAAAATATTATCTAGATAAACTATATAAATAATATTTATAAAGCTTACTAGTATATAGTTAATATATACCTGAAATATTACTAAAGTATTAGATAGTCTAAAGAATATAATATAGTATTTAAAATATTTATAATATATTTAGAATACTATTTTTTACTTATTACTCTTCTATATTTATAACTAATAGTAAATATTTTTTAAGTCTAGCTTTATATATATTTTTATTTTATAAAGCTTATTTATAGTTTTACTAATAAGTAATAATAGTATTTAGTTCTTAATAGTAACCCTATTTAGACTTTAGTAATTAATATATAAATATAGGCCGCCTTCTTTCTTTAGAATAAATATAAATAGGGTACTAGCTAGACTAGTAAAATAATAAATCTATTTCTTTTCTAGGCTAGTATTAAGATATTTCCGAAGAACTTTAAGCTTTCTTTCTAATAAAGTATATATAAAATTATATAATAGTTAGAACTCTAGTTCTAGATCTATATAATACTTTATTATATAATAGTCGAGTAATATATCTATAGCCTTTATAGAAAATACTTAAAAAACGTTCTAATATTTCTTGGGAAATATAATTATTTTATTAGTAATAATAGTAATAACTTTTTAGCTATCTATTATAAGATAAGTAATTAATAGAAAAATATATATCTTATATTTTATTACTTTAGTAAATTTCCTAGTATTTAGAACTTTAATTTTCTATAATTAAATCTAAGTATTTCTATATTATTTTCCTAAAAGAAATTAGAAAATTAATCTAGTAAAGCTATAAAAATTCAAGTATTATATTAATATAATTTAGATTAAAATTATATAATATAAAGTATATATTAGCCTCTTTTTAGTTCCCTAATATATTTTTAGTAATAATTCTAAAAATATAATTTTTATATAAATGAATTCTTCTTCTTTCTAATAAGAATAAGGAAATTACTTTTAATATTAATAGAATACCTATATTTAAAACTAATCTTCTCTTTATATAATTAGCCTCTATACCCGAATTTACTAATACTTTAACTCTTTACTTATCTTTTCTTATTTTAATAATAACCTTAATTACTATTTTCGTTTTAGGAGTCTTACTTTCTATAATATAAATAAATATAACTATTATAGGATATATCCGTTTCCTGGCTTCTTTAGTTTTAGGCACTTATATAATTTATAGCTAGACTTATTATAGTTATAGTAAGTTAGTTTCCCCTAATTTAGATAAATAATAATATAATAATTCTTTTTCTAGTAAGTAAAGCAAATTATATCCGGTTTTATAGATTCTAATATAGGTATTATATTAGACTCTATTACTATATCTTTATTATTCCGGTTTTATAAATCTTATAATAGAAATATATTTCTCTTTTATTTTCCTTTATTATTTCTCTTTTCTTTTATTTTTTTTATATTTTTTTATAATCCTATTAGCTTATTATTATATTTCTATTAAATAAATAGATTTAAATTATTCTTAATTTTTATAGTAATAGAAATAAGCTTCTTTTTCTTTTATAAAATATTTCCTTAATAATTAATCTTATCCTGAATTTTCTGCCTTAAGCTACTAAATAAGTTATTCTACTTTTATAATAAACCCGTATATTCTAAGTTATCTAATAGGCTATTTAAGTAAGATATAAAGCTTTAGATATTTTAGCCTAGCTATTATTTAGTATCTTTAAATTTAGTAAAAGTATTATTATTATAATTTTTCGGATTTAAAATAGAATTCTTTATAAACTTAATAAAGATCTTCTAATTCGTAATATTAATATTTACTAATTACTTCTTATATTTCTAAATATTTCTAGTTATATTCTTAAAATAGAAAGTATAATATATAATCTTTATTATATTAGTAGTCTAGATAATTCCGCTATCTTTATACTACTTTAATTCTACTTAATAGAAGAAATCCTGGGCTTCTTTAGTACTCTTTCTCTAGTAAGTAGGTAGTTTTTGGGTTTTTAAAGCCTTCTAAATTAAGGGTACTACCAGGAGTATAACGGATTCTATATCGGGTATCCGAATATCTTTAAGATAATAGATCTAAGCTTCTAGCTTCTCTAGATCTTCTCTTTATTATATCTCTATTTCTAACTTAGTAATATAATAGCGAGCCGCCGCTAATTTCTCTGTTATTATTATCCTACTAGCTAGTTCTAGGGATATCTAAGTTCTACTTCCTTCTCCTAATTAGGTAGTATGAAGAGTACTTGACTGGGCGCTCCCCTGGATACCCGGTTAGATTGCCCTAGCGGTAGTAAAGGCGCTTCTTCTGGTTAATACTCTAGCTATTAATATTTTGTCTATTAATAGCTTGACTACCTTATAATGAACTGCTTCCCGAAGGTTGGATTAATTAGAATGTAAGGCATGTAATAGCAGGGTAATATATAAGTAGTTAAGGTAAGTAAGCTATAGAGTAACGCTTGCAAGTGTAACTAATTCCAAGAATTGATTCTAATAAAAGACTAATTGATGCCCCTTTCCAAAGCTAGAAGCGTCTCCTTATATATTCCCTAGTGCTTAGCCAAGCCTGCGAAGCACTTTACTTAACTAGGAAATACGATCCCATGTAATCCGTATAATTCCGATCGCCCGTATGATTCCGATCGCAAGCTTTACCTAAAATAGGAAACTAGATCTATGATATCTGACACCTGTCCATGCGCTATCACGTGTGCCCATTACAGAGAAATAAAGGCAAAAGGCGTTGTAATAATCGATTATTTATTAATAGTAATTAATGATTGCCTTTTAGTAACTATTTTAATAAACAATTAATAATTAATTAATTCCCACTAATTGTTGCCAAGCCTGCTCGGCTACATGCAATGGGAATATGACACGCACTCAGATGTATGGCTATATAGGCCGCACCTTTGCCCTATCTTCTAGCCAGAAGTGGAGGTAGCGACCGCCAATCACAAGTCAAAGTTGGTTTATGCGAGCCATGAACACTCATGTTTGAATGTCTCGCTGGGGCATTTCCCAACATAGTGATCACTGATCTGAAGGGACAAAGGATAGAAATAAGACCTATTGGGTCAGTTGAGCAGCACATACTTACGAGTTAGCTTTTATGCGAATTTGGACGATGTAAAGACAAATAAACCCCGAAAATTTTGGATATGTTCAGCCATACCCGCAAAATGAAAGACTCCCTTTCGTGGCCCCATGATCCATAGTTGATTAGTCTCGTTGCGATACCGTCGACAGTCCATTCCTGGTGTAAGGCGGGGTAGTTGTCGATCGGATCGGATAGCGCACCTAATACCGACCCGCACAGTCTCAAGCGTGCTCAGATGCCGCTCAAATTAAGGATGCACAACCCCAACCGTGCATGCGCCCTACGTATTCTGATCCCCCCTCCCCCATTTGCTCTTGGCGCAAAAAGCCCACCGCTAGTATCTCTAGCTTTTCTAAGTCCTTGCCTGAACTCTGAATATGCAGCTTCGTGCTCGCACATGCGCCTTGTGCAGCTTCAATCTCACCTCCTTGGACAATCAGTCTATTGTTGTCACATCATATTCAATTGAGATCTTTCGATCTACCTCTCTATACAAATTGCCAATTCCCTCATCGCGATACAAAGCATTGTTCTGCCAGCTTTACGCACAGGTAACAACGATCATTCAAAAATCAAGATTGGAAGATGTCGGAAGAGGGCGAACGCGGCCCTGTTCGCCTGCGCGCATCTCGGGCTTGTCAAACATGTAGTCTGCGAAAGGTGCGATGCGATGCGACGGAGGTTGGAATTCCATGTAGCCGTTGTCGCGTCGACCAGTCTCCCAACTGTCTTCTGCTTCCTTCAAAACGAGGTACATATGCGAGGCAACCTCGTCTCCAGAGTCCGTATGAAAGAGTTACGTCCAAAACCAATGGCAATGAAGTGCCAAACAACACACGCTGCTCCATCTCTCCGCCATCAAATGCTTCAGCATCGTCTGACGAGGGCCTGCTATCTTCCGAGTCCCCATCCTTAGCCTCAGTACTGGGCCAGCAAAATCTCGAGACAGCATATCAGAATGATATGCCCATCGGCTCAGCACAGCAAGAAATGGCACCGCCGATGAACACACAAGCGATGGAGTCTACCACAGTGGACGACACGGAGAAGGCTTACGAGATACAGAGCTGTGGGGCAACGTTAGAAGTACTGCGCCATCATCGAGACTCGCTCACATCAATGTTTGAGAGGTTTCTGGAACAGCGGAGCCAAAATCCTGAAGATGCCACTGCAAAGTGTGGCGTCATATTTATGAGCGGGGCATCCCCTCTGACCTTTGCTCTCGAAGAGGCTCGAGGCGGCAATAACACCATCAATGCGGCTTTGCACGACGCCGGGTCGCATTTTCCAAAAGGCGATGGCGCAAAGACCATCGAGGTTGACGGCCATCCCTCGCATTTGTCATCGGAGGATATCAGTTATGTCAAAGCAAAAGGCGCTTTTGAACGACCCCAGAGTGACGTCTCGGATGCAATCTTTGCAGCCTTTGTTGAGAGGTTTTATCCCTTGTACTCCATTGTTGATCTGAATGCGTTTGAAGAGTCGTTCAAAGCTGGAATTTTGCCTTGGATTTTGTTCCACTCCGTTTGCTTCATTGGAGTAACGTTCTGTGACTTGAGCGTGATCCATCGAGCTGGCTTTAAAGGGCGATGGCGTGCGCGACGTCATTTTTACGACAAAGCAAAGCTACTATTCGACATTGGATACGAGACCAATAAAATTGTGCTACTTCAATCAGTTCTTATGCTCTCGTTTTGGGGGCCACAGATGAAGAGTTACTGGAACCCGTGTTCCTGGGTCGGCTTTGGCGTCACTATTGCAGAATCTCTAGGAATCTACCGAATCAATACATCTACCTACATGGATACCAAGCGGCGGAGCCTTCTGAAACGATTATTCTGGGCCCTCGCCGTGCGGGATGCCTACTGTGCGGCATTGTTAGGTCGTCCTTTTCGACTCAACATAGCTCAGTGCGATACGGAACCATTGACCCTGGAAGATTTCGAACATGACGAAAATTGTTGCAAGCAAGATCATGGAAAGTGCCTATCACACGGCCATTATCAGATTCAGGTCTCTAAATTGTCTCTCATCCTTCGGAAGATCGTCGAAGCGCAATTCGGACCGAGCAAGAATACCACTCAGCCAACCCATCTTCACAATTTGATGGATACTTGGCAGGCCGAACTCCCTCGCACTGTGAGTTGGTGGGAGCAGCAAGCTCCAACAACAGACATCTTTGCGATGAGCTTGAAAATCATTTTTCACCAACAACTGATTCTCATCCACCTCAAGAAACGAGATGACGCAGAAAGTGTAGTATCTCAGATTGGATCACTTCTCCCAAGTGTCTCCCTTTCGTCTACGCAGATTGCTGAATCGGCGGCGCAAATGATTTCCTCCACAGCGTTCACTATTATTGCCAACTCCATGCTAGGCATGATGCCACACGAGATATTCTCCGGCTTCTTTGTCGCAGGGATCGTCTTCTATCGCGGTATCAAGCAACTGCAAAACTCGATCGCTCGTCTCTCCCGCTCGGCGCTCGATAACTGTCAGATGGTCATTAACGAAGCACGAGAGAGATGGGATCTAGCGAACTGGGTAATGAGGATATTCGATTTTTTACTCTCCAGCAGCAGTCCCCCACCTGAAACTGCGACTCAGACGCAATGGGCGGGATTGGCACCCGCCAGCTTGGCTCAGATCCCAGGATCGGTACCGGCTTGCAACTACAACTACATGCCAAACATGATGCCTGAAGATGACATCTTGCACTCGACGGATTATGGTTCGCCGACGTATCAGATGGGTTCGATGACGAATGACTTCCTTCTCATGTCGAATTATTTGCCTGTGCCTCTCGGGGACTCCTCGTTCATGTCCATGTAGGATGCTGGTCGCGGGCAGGGTGGATATGGCGTTCTGTGTTGACCGTTCGGGTTGTTTTGAGTTAGGAGTCTTTGGGTAGGGTCTGAGAAATGGAGCGTTTTCTGGAGTGTGCCAAACAGATGTCCCTAAAAACCTGTACTTTTAAAAAGTGAACAAAATGCAAGTATCAATTTTCCCAGTGCCAAACCTGGTACATGTGCCGCTTTCCCAGGAAGGAATTTCTGACCAAGGAAGGCTGCAAGGCAGGTAACCGGTATCTCACGTTATACCCGTCCACCTGATTCAAGTAGCCCCGGCTGTAGGGAATTATATAGCCGCACATAGCCCCATGAAACTTGACTGTAGTTGGTCGGGGTATGCAAGTGCTTCTCCCCTCCGGAGGGAGGGTATATGATTTAGATCATGGTTCAACTGTTCTCATATGTCTCCGCTATAGGCCGTTTTGCATTTCCATATACAACGGAGTCCCAAAACATCAAAGTTCGAGCCCTTACAAAGACAGGTCGCCTTTGGTATAGAAGCCGCAATGGTTATCAAAAGTCGTTATCCTGAGCTGAACCTCCCGAGCGTTGACATATACACTTTCTTGTTCAAGCGCAAGGACAGGAAATTCCCAGATGAACACCGCAAGTCTCACTCTCCCTCGAGAAGTCTTCATGAATTTGATGCTAATTTCTACGTCATCCAGCAATCTTCCGCGATGGGCCAACCAACAAGACATACACTTTTGGGGAATTGCGGCAGCTGGCTGAAACCTTTGGGAAAGGATTAAGATCTCAATACGATTGGCAAAAGGGCGATGTGCTCGCCATCTCATCAGCCAGCGACATAGACATGCCGCCCATCATATTTGGTGCTCTCTGGGCAGGTGCAACCGTTTCAACTGCAAATCCAGGCTACACGTTCACAGAACTTTCTCACCAGCTCCGTGACAGCGGCGCCAAAGCCATCGTCACCCACTACTCCAATATCGAGGCTGTCAGGAAGGCATGCAGTGCCGTTGGCATTCCAGAAGACCATATCATCATCTTGGGGAACCGGAAAGACCCAACTGGCCGCTTCAAGCACTGGACGAACGTCCGTAACCTGGCCAACACAGCACGGTTTGTGGCGCGTAAGATCGACCCCAGAAAAGATGCAGCGTTTCTTGTCTATTCGTCCGGTACTACTGGCAAGCCAAAGGGCGTTAAGCTATCTCATTATAACATCATCTCGAATATTCTCCAACTACAAGCCGCGGAAAATTACAATCTCACCTGGGATGGGAGCCGAACTTCCAGAGACATTTCTCTGCCAGAACCTGGGACAGGTGGTGATAAAGTCCTGGCTTGTCTGCCGTTCTTCCACATCTACGGTCTAACGGTTCTCGTTCACAGCCCCGTCTACTCAGGTGTTACTACTGTCGTGCTCTCCAAATTCGAAGTCGAAGCATGGTGCTATTTGGTACAGAAACACAAAGTCACGTACTCGTACATTGTGCCTCCGATCGTCCTGCACCTAGCAAAGCACCCCTCTGTCTCTTCCTACGACCTATCCAGTCTGCGTATGACACAATCTGGCGCCGCGCCTCTAACTCGCGAGCTTATTGAGCAAGTTTTCAAGCGTGTCGGTGTTCGCATAAAGCAGGGCTATGGCCTCTCCGAGACCAGTCCCTGTCTATATCAAGGCTCCTGGGATGCGTGGGACGTTGACATTGGCAGCGTTGGTGCGCTACTGCCCAACGTCGAAGTCAAGATTTGCGAGCCATTCGATAGTTCCAGTAGCGACTTCGGAAATAGCACCCCTCGCGAGCTCGAACAGGGAGACGTTGGAGAGCTGCACGTCAAAGGGCCGAACGTGTTCAGTGGGTACCATAGGAACCCTGATGCTACGGCTGAGTGTCTTTCTGCCGATGGGTGGTTCCGTACGGGAGACGTAGGACTCATCAATGAGCGCGGCAATCTCTTTATCACGGACCGTGTGAAAGAGCTGATAAAGTACAAGGGGTTTCAAGTTCCGCCTGCTGAGCTTGAAGGCTACCTGCACGACTTCCCTGGCGTGATCGACTGTGCGGTCGTGGGTGTGTACAATAAAGAGATGGCAACGGAGGTTCCACGAGCGTACGTTGTGACGGAGTATACGTCTAACCCGATCAATATCGCGGAGTTGCAGCAGTGGTTTAGTAGCCGGGTAGCTAACCATAAGAGGTTGAGGGGAGGAATCAGGTTAGTAAAGCAGATTCCGAAGAATGCGAGTGGGAAGATCTTGAGAAAGAATTTGAAAGATAAGGCGAGGGCGGAGTACGACACGGAAGTAAGAATGGCTAAGGGAGCGAGATTGTAAATAGGCTGAATGGGAGTTGACTACGATACTGGAGTCTCTCTACCCGCTCGTGACCATATGGTGCTTGTTCAGCTAGGAACTATCAATAGCACTATCGTTTGTTGATCTTGATCGACGCTTGACTATATGTTACGGCATGAACAAGCTAGATAATGTTGGCATGGGTTCACATCGTTCCAAGACGTATGTGAAAGCCATCTACGGTGCGGTTGGAGCAGTACAGATTTCTGAAATGGTCCCTACGCTGAACGACGAGAGTCGAAAAATTGGGAAGCGGTTCTCGTGTCAACCACGCCCCCCAGCTAATACTAAATTTCGCTTGTGTCAGCTGGAATTAACATATGATGACAACCACATGTGGAGGCTCAGCATTGATACATTGATGCTGCTGGGCGAGGTTAACTGTGTACTTTGCTACGCTGTCAATCTATCTATCTATCTATCTATCTATCTAGAGGGTAGTGCATACTGTGTTGACGGATGTTTGCGCAGAAAAGCTCTACTTCCAACCGGTACAAAAGGCTACTGGCCTACGACCTTTCCCTTACCTAGTTTTGTCTTCAACTTTGATTTCTACCAGCTTACTTTTGCATACTGATCTGAATTTCTAGCTCGTCTATTTTGTGTGCCTCAGCTATGTTGAGACTGGGATATACTCCAAACCAAAGCATGTTTGCCTAGGCTTTATTGAGTTTCGTTTGTATTGAACTGAGCACAAATCCACAGTACAAACGCTGGATCTTGGGTAGCTTGTAGCCTCTCATTGCATTAACCATCTAGAACGTGACCCTTTCGATTGTCCACTATTCCTTTCTTACGTGGCTTGACCGTCTCAACAATCAGTTTAATCGTCGTGGATTCATAACATTTATACAATATGTTATAGCCACAGAATTCTTAGAAAATGGGTTGCAATAGGCACGGCGAGTTCAGCAAATCTACCAAATCAGACAGGTACGCAAGAGCGCTCCTTCTGGCTAGGTAAGTTGGAACGATTGAGCCAGCATAGTATCAAGAGTCTTTCTGCCCTCGCCGTTCATTCAGGCATCTATCATAGGGAAAGCAAGTATCATCTACTTCAAGAATGCTCTGCACTCTAGCATGTACCCCTTGCTCTAGGAGCCAGATTCAGGCCAACCCGAGAATTTGCCCAACATACTACTAGATTAGTTGTGCTCTAATCACATTGAATGATCGTGAATTCTTGGTGAGTTTGACCTTGTTCTCGTCCCGTTTATAAACTATTGATTGATTGTCAAAGATTGGCCTTGTGCAGGTTATCTAGAATATAAGTACGCGCTTCTCACTCGTCGATGAATGGCTAGTTGTATCTTACTGCTAGGAGTTTGTGTCATCATGTATTGCCCTTGAGTCACCTTACGGAATAAATTTTCACCTCCTCGGTATTTGTTCGAGATGGGAAACGAACCCCAACAAGTTTCATCTGGAGACGACGATCGCAACTCTATCACCTGAAATATTCGAGCAGGTGTATCTGGCCCCCAAACCGCGACTCGAGGGAGGAGATCTCCGGCACACGTTTGGTAACTCAACCCCAATTGCTGTTGTCGGTTTGCGCATAGGTCTGACGCCTTTGTCTATTGAGCTCATGGGCTGGAATGGAGCAGGCGGCCAGACTGCTACTGTGTAGGTGCTTTAACCGCTACATCACTCCTATTCTCTGCTGACGTTATCATATAGTGGTGCCAATTGATGGTTCGGTGGTATGCTCCTCACTCTGTCAGGAATAGGGGAATTCATCTCAGGAAACCCCTTCCCTTCCGTCGTATTCCTGAGTTATTGTTGTCACTACTTGACATTCGCATCTACCTACACCCCCTCCTTGCCGCAATCTCTTCATTCAACGCAGATGCTAGCCAGACTCCAAAACCGTTCCTCACAAGTTTTAGTAACTTCCACTTCCAGATCAAAACTCACTTAGGTTGATGCTGACTCGCTCTTAGGCTTCTACTTATTGATTATGAGCCTTCTCTCGCTCATTTTCTTGACTTGCTCTCTCCGCACCAACGCAGTATTCGCCGTCGTGTTCGGTGGCGCGACAATCGGCTTCTCTTCTGGAGCTGGAGCATTCTGGCACCTTTCGTACGGAAACAACTTAATAGGCCAGCGTCTACTTGTCGCCACTGGCGGCTGCTTCTTTGGTTCTTGTATGGCGGGCTGGTACTGGTTATTTGAAATCATGATGACTGCGGTTGATATGACGTTCGTCGTCCTAGTTTGCGACTTGAGCACTCTTATCAAAGGTATGAACGATCGGAAAAAGCCTCTTGCTCTCACAGAATAGGAGTCGTTAAGTGCAGTGGCAACGATATTGTGGTATGGTTAAGTCTTGGAGGTCGATCGCAGTCTCCTAGCTATAGATAGGTGTTTGATGGATGACTTTTCGGGAAGAGATAGAGACCATCGCAAAAATGCTAGGCATAGGATCTACTACTCTTGTAGTGTCAGAAAATGCAAATGGGTGAGCAGTCGGTGCGCTCGCTGTACGGAGATCATGGCATAAAGTGACGGGACGACAGGGCATTTGTACTACTGTACAAGTCCACTTTCACGCCGCTTTCTGCTCGATTCAACCGCTAAAACCCCCTACATTTCCAGGCCACTACCCTAAAAGAACGCCGTAAGCCACAAGCAAAGGTTACCACACCATTTTAAGGCATATCCCCTGTGCTTACAGGGGAAGGTTCGCTAAGGTACCCTATAGTTACCGCCCTCACAGCGTCCGAGCGCTATAGTTACTCCGCTAGCAGCGCTATAACCCTTGAGGCTCTCCGATAATCCTGCAAATGTCTTATTACACTCTACTTCAGGGCACGAGGTCTAAATCTGTAAGGCCTTATAGCGGGCTGAACCCCTCAATTTGCACGCTGTAGTCCACTGAGCGCCCCAGGCAAATCCAAATGCCCTGTAGTCCCGTCACTTTGTGCCTTGATCTTCGTATTCAAACTATTATTATGTATTGCTAGTGAACTAAAATGAACTTGGACGGTCACAGAAGACTCATGACGGATTTAACCCCCATGAGAAATTCGCCCAAAGATTTCCAACGCTCTAGCTGAAGTGTGACCATAACAAGACGTTCAAGTCACCAGTCTAAATCCCAAACGGCTTTTATAGTATCAGAAGCTTTTTATTAATCAACTTCTGCATCCCAGTGTGTTCCTCGTTCATTGGCTTAGAGCCAGATTAAATTGATAATTGAAACGCGATCTCAGTAAGCTAATCCTTGTAAGTCACTGTCTTTGTTCTGACCAACTCATCCATTCCCATTGATCCAAATCTACCATAACCCGACTGCTTCACACCTCCATGAGGAAGACCGCTTTCATCGTGTACGCTCATCCCGTTAATATGTACTGCTCCAGATTCTATTTCTTTTGCAAAGCGAAGCCCTCTCCTCAAATCTTCGGTGAAAACTGCAGCACTAAGCCCATACTCGGTATCATTTGCAATCCGTAGAGCCTCTTCCTCTGTGTCCACCACAATGAAAGAGACAGTGGGGCCAAAACTCTCAGTTTTATACAGATCCATTCCCTCTCGGACGCCCTTGACTCCAATAGGTTTCATCTTGGTGTTAGTGTCCTCGACTGCCTCCAGTTCGCCATGTAGAATGCTAGCGCCTTTGCTGACTGCATCCTTGATCAGGAGTTTGTTCTTTTCCACGCCGGCTTCACTGATCAAGTCTTGCACACCGCTCCATCCTCCTTTGGCAGCAGCTACAAACTCCCGCTCGAAAGCCTCGGCGATATTTTTGTGCACAATGATGCGTTCAGTGCTCATACATATCTGTCCGGCGTAGAGAAATGCCCCCATAGCACAGGCCTGTGCCGCACTTGGTAGATCGGCATCTTCCCATACAATTGCTGGGGCTTTTCCTCCAAGTTCAAGCAGAACTGGTTTGAGGTTTCTACCTGCAAGCTCGCCAATAACCTTACCCACCTGCGTGCTTCCCGTAAAGTTGATCTTCTTCACTCGAGGATCTTCAATTAGGGCCTTTGTGATTGATGGTGCGTCGGAAGGTTTATGGGCAATCACGTTCAGGACGCCGTCGGGTAGGCCAGCTTCGCGAAAGCAGTCACCGATTGCCCAGAAGCTGGGGGGGAGGTTTCGGATGACTTGAGAATTACTGTATTGCCAGCTGCGATAGCAAACACAATTGCTCGGAATCCAAGGATATATGGTGCATTCCTAAAAGCGCCAGGTCAGTCATGAAGTGTGTGCTCCTCAAAGAAGTGCCTTACCAAGGAGCAATCCCTAGGATGACTCCATATGGCTCCTTCCAAACCATCGCACTTTTTCCTTCGGCGCCTGGAATAGGGACACTTCCCTGGACGGACGGAATTCTGCCAGCGACGTCTTTCAACATGTCGACCGCGAGCGGGACGTTGAAGCCCGAGCCCCAAAATTCTGACGCCGCGGTTTCATCCATCATATACTTTCCCAGTTCGTCGCCACGTTTCTCAACGATCTTTGCTGCCTTGAGAAAAATATCGCGTCTTGCCGTTGGCTTGGTCTTCTTCCAGCTTTGGAAAGCTTTCTGCGCAGACTCGACGGCAGTCAAGGCATCTGCCACCGAAGCGCTGGTAGAATCATGGAGGCGGCTTCCTGTGACCGGAGACCGAACTGAGAAGGAGACGTCAAAGTAGACGTCCTTGTTGTCGATGATTGCAGGTACCGTAAACGTGCCGTTCTGTGTCATGATGGGCAACTTGAATTTGTTGGTAATCTGTGATTTTCTTGTGGTTGGCCTGACGTTGTGAGAGCTGGAGAGAGGGAGAGAATGGCAAGACGATTGGACTGTGGAAAGTGTGAGCAGATATATATAGGTACTGGTCTTGGTACTGGATCAGCAATGGTAGCTTTGCTTCTACTCGGTGCCGTTACCTCACCTGCTCAAATAACCGAACTCCCGCACTAAAACACGCGCTTTATTACAAAAACACACACTTTTATAAGTTAGTAACTTAAGAATTAATGGAGTAATTAGTATAAGATTTAAAGGAATTACTAAACTTTACTTAAACTATACTTAATTTCTTAGTCAAAAAGTAAATAAATATTTATTTAAAAATAATAATATATAATATAATATTTCATAATGTTTTATAAAGTAATATTTATATATAATTTTAAAACTATTAATAAATAACTCTATTTGTTTTTCTTATATAAAATTTCGAAGTAAATTAATAGTTAATTATAAGAAATAGCTTTATTTCTTATTATAAAATACAATTATTCTTAATAAAAGTATAGCTTATATTATAAATATTATATAATACTTAAGAATTAGAGTTTATATATATAATATAAATAATTTTTGGAAGTCATTTCTATTAATAAATACTTTAGTAAATTTCTTATTTTATATTTTTTTATAAAAAAAAGCATTTAATTAAAGAAGATTTTTTTCATTAATTTTTTTTACAAATTAAATTAAATCTTATCTAAATCTTATTAAAACCTAGAAGGATAGTCTTTAATAAAGGCGTTATAAGTTAAGATCTTATGTATTAAAAGTAGAGGGGTTTCAATAGTTTTTGGTGTAACCTCCGGTATTTTTGACGGGGCGTGTTTTCGCGCAGGAGTTCGGGTATTACCCCCACTGCCCCCGCCTCCACTCTCCACTCTCGGCACCCTTGCAGGGCGGCGATCGCATGGAGACCGCCACCGCCACCGAAGCCACCGTTGTCGGGTCGGAAGTGTTGTTAATCATTGCATCTTCCGCTCAAGTCTTCCGAAAGCCATGAGCAGCTCTCTACGATCCCGCTCCTAGAGTACCCCACACCCGATGTGGCCCCAGATCACGGGAGTATGCCTTTCTAACGTGGTATTTAGGTTTAGGTAGTGCGGTCAGGAAATCCATGATATCTTTGGTCCCATCTTGGAAATACAACTTCCCGGAAGTCCTCGCTCTTCTGATACTCTCCATACTGCACGCATATTCTGTGAAGCATTCGTTGCAAATCCACAACATGGCCCCTGAGAAACCATTCCACGTCGCTGTCTGCGGAGGCGGAATCGGAGGTCTTTGCTTGGTTATTGGCCTTCTTCGACAGAAAGTCTCCTGCACGATTTACGAGGCTGCTCCTGCTTTCGCAGAAATTGGCGCTGGCGTTTCCTTCGGCCCCAACGCAGTACGGGCGATGGAGCTGATTCGTCCGCTCATTGCGAAAGGTTTCGAGAATTGTGTTACCCTGAACGGCTGGCCGGAGAAGAAGGAAACCTGGTTTGATTTCAGAGTTGGGAAGTCGGAGTCGCGAGATGGTCAGGAAGCGTTGATAGACGTCCACGTTGCCGATGTAAAATCGGGGAAGTTAGGCCAAACCAGTGTTCACAGAGCTCATTACTTAGACGAATTGGTGAAGCTCGTTCCAGATGGCGTAGCCAAGTTTGGTAAGAGATTGAAAAACGTCACTGAGGATGGTGAGAAATTGATCTTGTTCTTCGAAGATGGCACAAGGGAAGAAGCAGACGCAGTTATCGGCTGCGATGGCATCAAATCTCGAACTCGACATATTCTGCTAGGCGCCAACCATCCTGCTGCGAATGCGGTGTTCTCTGGAAAATATGCCTACAGAGGATTGATACCCATGGACAAGGCTGTTTGCGCGTTAGGAGACGAACTGGCACGAAATTCCCAGGTATACATGGGCCACCATGGCCACGTCCTTACCTTTCCTATCGACCAGGGCAAAATAATGAATGTTGTAGCCTTTAGAACGAAGCTCGACGGAAAATGGGAGGATCCTATGTGGGTTCGGCCGTCTACAACAGAAGACATGTTTGCAGACTTTGTGGGCTGGGGCGATAAAGTTCAGAGTATTTTGGGGGTAAGTCACATTTCAGCGATCAACAACTGCCATATCAAAGCTAAGGAGTCTGTAGCTCATGGAAAATCCGGATGTATGGGCGTTGTTTGATCACCCACCCGCACCTGTGTTTTACAAAGGTCGACTATGCCTACTTGGCGATGCGGCACACGCGACGACACCCCACCAAGGAGCAGGAGCAGGTCAAGCAATTGAGGATGCCCTGGTGTTGTCCAATTTACTGGGGCGGGTCAACTCCCCGGCAGACCTTGAAGACGCTTTCAAAGCGTACGATGCTGTACGGAGGCCACGGAGCCAACGAGTGGTAATTACAAGTCGAGAAGCTTCCCACCTTTATGAGCTGGAGAATGAAAATATTGGATATGACTTGGACAAAGCACGAAAGGAGCTTGAAGTCCGCTGTAAATGGATATGGGATGAAGATCTGAGCGCTCAGGTCAAGACAGCCCAGGATTCCATGGCCAAAAAGCCTGTCGGTAGACTCTAGAGTTTTATTATGTAATTTGGAGGATTCAAAAAGGTTTGGCGGCGCATTCTTGTTCAGGTTTATAGTTTGGTTACAATAAAAAACTTTGAGCAACAGTTAATGAGCAGTAACTGTGCAAGTCTAACGTATGAAATAAGCAAACTACCAGGACACGTTCTATTCTATCTTGAAATTGCGCTCCTTTTACAGATACTTTAGCTGTTCCTGTTATGATAAGGTGTCATATTCCCTCAGAGCTTAGAACACTTTCTCTGAGAGCAAAATCTTTGATGTGTTTGGCCACAACATCACCAGCTTCAATACAATGCCAGTGTCCAATCCCCTCAAGAACCTTGGTATTCTTCAGAGCTTTACTGGTTGCATATCTTTGTATGATTGCCTCGCATCCTTCCATAGGTGCAGTTTTATCGTCCGAGCCAGCAATGAGCAATAGCGGTGCTGTTATCGCTTCATAATTTGGAACCTTTGCTGTACTGATCACGCGGCATAATGACATATAGCCTTCTGCTGAGGTCCTGATAATCAAATTGCGGATGAAAGCGTGATGTAGAGAAGTTGACAGTTTTCCCGTAGCAGCTGCTGGTATGGACTTAGCCAGCCCTTCCACGCCATCTATTGAGTGTCAGTCGCCGAATGGCAATCAGCCTAAATTTCTTTCTGACGAGGCAGGCAAAGTCAAATGTCGAGAAGGGCAGAGGTTACCTTGTTTTACGTCCTCGAGTCTACTTACGAAGAGTCTAGAAATAGCATCGCTAGGGTTCACAGGCCCTATCAATACAACGCCGTTCACCCTGTTCCCATGGCCTGCAGCAAAATGACTAGCCACAATACCACCCATCGAGTGGCCAACGATTGTCACATTGTTCTTGATGTCCAGTGCATCCAGTAAACTGACGACATCTACCGAGATGCTGTCAATAGTTTGTTCAGATTCACCAAGTTCCGACAACCCTGAGCCGGCTATGTCGACCGCGATGCAGCGTATGCTTGGAGTCAGATAAGGGATCACTGGGAGGAAATACGAGGAGGAGGATCCGAGGCCGTGAATAAGAATGACAGTTGCCAAAGCTTTCTGAGCAGGTTCGTCGATGGTATAGTACAATGACTTGCCATTGATGTGTTTGTTGGGCATCTTCGGGACGAGGAACGGAGCGTAGTACTCGAAGGGTGAAAAGAGATTGTAGGACCAGTTCTTAAAGCCTTAATGAACCGCGACACAAATGTGAAGATGAATTATCTCAACCTTTGGCAGCTTGACCTCTGTGGCCCGAGAATTATAGATACATATGTTGTGGAATACTTACTAATGCATCCGCCCTACATCCACTCTGCATCCGCTTTGCATCCCGCAAGCTAAAATGCGGCTGATACCACCGGTTCCGTCGTTCGGCAGATCATACAATTCTCGTGTTGACTTTATCAATACTGTACCCCCAAAAAAGCCCACAGAATGTGATTTTTCTCTTTTTGTGGGAGAAAATAAGTCTTATGATATCTTCGTATGGATTAAAGTTCTCAAACATGAGATTGCTGGACCAGCAAGGTGCTACCTCGCAACGAGAAAACCAGCGTGGTCGTTTATTTGAGCTTGTGTGTGAGAACCTGTAGTTTGGACCTACTCCGCCAGGTCCTTACATCTGCACGGGACGCAAGTAAAGGAGAATATATAGGCCGTGCTCAGGTATTCATAGTAAAAAGAGACTAGATTTAGCAAGATCAAGATACTCGGCTTTGGTGTATTCTATCGCATTTATATGCAGTCTATGATAATCCAACTACCTTCGAGAATCACCATCATTTGAAAAGTCCCAGCTAGCCTTGTCTGTTCCATTTGGTCTGCTTCCCCTCTGGAAGCCAATTCCGATGCCCGAAATGTCCACAACAGGCTTGACAACACGCACATTTGCACCGTAGCCTTTTGAGTACCAGGTCTCGAAATTCGAATCTTGAAACAGTTCTGGATGGTCCTTTTGCAGCATGGCCAACGCGGACCTGGAGATGTCATCCACACTATGATTGTGACGCATCGATAGGAAAGCCGTGCTACATTGTGCTCGAAGCTGGTCCTGGACCTCTTCGGAGTACTGTCCGGCTTTGAAGAGAAGAAGGTCATACTGCAACAGTGATGCCTTGCCGTGCCAGGACCCCCCTTTTGTTGCACGGTTGTAGAGTCCGGTGAGAGCCGCTATCGCCCCTATACACCCAGTCCCGTAATCGGAAATCGGGAAAGGTGGAACTGTAGGCTCCTCCACACCCATGAAGCGTCCCTGGGCCCACGCGAGTCCGCTCACCTAAAATGTTGTCAGCGAAGCAATCCCAATGACAGAGAATCTTCGTAATAAGGCCCTCTGAGGAAGTGTTTAGACTTACACAATCTGCAATTTGCTGCCATCCAGGCCGGTTGGCCCACTCTCCGGTATAACCAAAACAGTTCTCGTTCACGTAGATCACTCCTTTCCCTCTCTTTTCAGCAATTTTGGCCAATGCTCTTGCGCTGTATCCCAGTTTATCCAGTGCCCCAGGGCGATATCCGTCCAGGACGATATCAACATCTTCGAGTAACCGCTCAAAGATCTCCTTGCCTTGAACGCTTTTGAGATCGATTTCTGTAGCGTGTTTACCCATATTTCCATCAACTTGGAAAAAAGGGACGTCGCTCAGTCCAGGCCCAGTGACCTTTAGAACATTGGCGCCATATTCTGCCAAGATCCGGCCGATGGTTGGACCTGCAATGATCCGACATAGCTCAAGAACCTTGATGCCTTCCAATATCCTGGGAGAGCTGGATGAGGAAGGAGGCAGAAGTACTGGAGGGGTGCTCGTTTCCAGAGAAGTCACTGTCCATGTAGGAGCATCCACAGACGAGGCGCCCTGCAAAAGTGATCAGCTGGACGTTCTAGAGTTGCGCAAGTCATTCTCAGAAAGCGAAGCGCAGGAGCAATTAAGCATACATGGGGAGTTTTCAAAAATTCTTCGTGCCGGAGCGCAGGAACACCTGCTTGTTTGTTGCGAGCGTTCATTTCCTCCAACTCTTCAATGGTGAATTTCTGAACGGCTGGTTCGATGACCGAGACGATTTTACTGTGCTCGTTGAGATCTGGTCGAAAGCTTTCAAGGCCCAACATATTCAAGGTCGTACTTGCTTCAAGTGATCCATGTATATGGTAGTATTCGCCTGCGCGTTTAGTTTCGTACAAGTTGGCCGACATGCGTCTGTACGGATCCGATTGCGCACGCAAATAGTCGGTATCTTTCAGCTTCGACTTGATGGCTGGGTCTAACTTGCCCAGCCCATCGACGGTGGCCAGGTATGCCTGGAACAGGAAATTCGTGGTCTTTTCGAGACTCACACTCAGCGTGCGCTCTTGTTTGCCATATTTCAGGTCGGCCAGCAGGCACGCCACGCTCCCCTCCACTGCCTTCAATGCTGCAGCTGTTTCAGTCTCCTTGAATGGAATAGGGAAGTAAACATGGTCATAATCCGACACAAATTTCACTTGAGCGGCAACATCTTGGATGCTCTCTGGCAAGCCCAGGGTCCCCGCCTGCTGACACAAGTATTGCAAGATGCGCTGAGCCTCGAGGAGTGGCGAGTAGGTTGGAGACATGGTGTTAACGCCCAGTAAAATCGAGACAGAATAGACAGACAGTAGGATTCAGCCGCCAAAGTCTGAACAATACGAGTACAGATTAAGATTACAGCTAGGAAATAATTTTGACCCACGACAGGTTAATGCTCAGATGTGCCCGACCACCACCCCCGCTTAGGAGCCGCATGGACAGGACTGGTCGTTGAGAGGCTTCGGGCTTCGGACGTCGAAAAGGTTCAGGCTGATCATGGCGGCACAGAAAGGCGGCTCGGCGGCTCGGCGGCTCGGCGTCATGGCGGATCGGAAGCGGCTCGGAAGCGGCTCGGGGATAAACTACTCCGGTGGTAGCACAAGCTCAACGGCCCCTGACCGTTCAGTCGTGCCGCTGAGCTCAAAAGTTCGCCTCCATGGAACATGATTCCTGGTCAGGAATTGCCCTGGTTTCCCCTCTTGACCCCGCGTATAATAGCAGCATACTCGTTGGCCCAAAGCACGGCACTTCCCTTTTGACTCTTTGCATGATCGGCTGCCGCACCTTCTCTTCAACCCTCACTTGGCTCCAGCTCGCTTCATCAAAATGTCACATCAACCAGCTTTCCACCTCCAAGGCACCGACAATACCGCCGCCTTCGATCCCCACTTCACGCAGAATGTCATCAAAGCCATTGGCCCAAAGGCCAGTCCGCGGATGCGCGAGGTTATGTCTTCCCTGATTCAACATGTTCATGATTTTGCGAGGGAAAACAAGCTCACGGTCGAGGAGTGGATGGCTGGCGTGGATCTCCTTAACTGGGCGGGGAAGATGAGTGACGACAAGAGGAACGAAGGCCAACTGGTCTGCGACGTCCTCGGCCTGGAATCGTGAGTTCCGCGTAGCGCTTTTTCAAACTCCCCTCGCCTCATCTCCATACTGAATTACCGGGCAGACTCGTGGACGAAATCACTTTCAAACTCGCTGGAGAGGCCCACGATACAGCAACGGCCAGTGCGATCCTGGGACCCTTTTTCCGTCACGATGCGCCAGAGCTCCCCAATGAATCAAATATCGTCCATGGCGTCGACGATGGCGAGATGACGTATATGTATGGCCACGTTCGGGACGCCAAGACCGGAAAGCCCGTTGTCAATGCTACCGTCGATGTGTGGGAGGCTTCCACGAATGGGTTGTATGAGCAGCAAGACGACAACCAAGTCGACTGCAACTTGAGAGGCAAGTTCAGGACAGACGAAAATGGACGTTACGCGTACTACTGCCTCCGACCAACGCCATATCCCGTCCCAAATGATGGTCAGTCAAGCTCTCTGTTCAAGAATGGCAATATGGCATAGAAAACTAACAAGAGCATAGGACCTGCTGGCAAGATACTGGAACTCCTCGACCGACACCCAATGCGGCCGGCACACATCCATTTGATCGCTATTAAAGAGGGTTACAAACCCGTCACGACACAGATCTTCGACAGCAAGAGTCCGTATCTGGAGGATGACTCAGTGTTCGCAGTGAAGAGCTCGTTGCTGGTGGACTTTGTGCCTCTGGAGGGCAATGCGCAGGCCAAGCTGCAACTGGAATACGATATCACACTGATACCTAACGAGAGTGGTGTGTAGTGTATATCTTAGCTAGATTGCTATCTGAATTAGTATCAAGCGCGCAATGATCTTTGTCCTTCACCGACTGCCAGGAGTGAAGCGTATTTGAAAGTACAGTTTTCTTAAAAAAATGAAGAAAAAAAACATTCTTCTTCATTCATACAAACGCCAGTCACGAAGTGATGTCACTTTGTCGGGCTCACAGCTCGGGTATGGTAGAAAAGAGGTCCATCCGAGTAGAAAACCCCTGTATATAGAAAGATCGGAAAGAGTAGAACTAAAGGTCGATATGGCTACTGCTGCAATAGCTCAAGTCCAATACATAAAAGTTGTCCGAGCTTTTTTATCAAACCTGAGCTTTCTCTACTCGGCTAACCCGCACTCTGTCCCGACAGGTTACAAAACCGAGATTCATGATCAATACACGCCCAAGGTCAATGCACGCTTAATTTTCTAACTTTCTATGGACTTAACCATTTATTATTAAATAACCACACAATTAATCAGTCTGGAATTGAAGATACAAAGCAATTGAGCTAGGCATATTCAGTTGACTAATTAGGTTTTTCATTTTTTAAGGCATTATTATAGAATAATTTATTTTTTAATTAAAATATTTTTATTACCTCAATAACTTTAATATTAATTTGTTTTATAATTACTTCTCTCTAAGCCCCCAAATTTAATGAAATCGAAGACCCTATTCCTAATATTACTATATAAGGCAGTCTCGCTTTACTAATTGCTTATCTAATATATCTAGTACCCTCTCTATATCTTGTTTACTAATTGTTTTATTGTAATTTTAAAGATGGTGGGTTGACCTTGGATCTCGGCTATAGGCAATATGGAGAGCATCGCACGAGTAAGGGAACCGTAGATCCCCGCACAGCACGGCACTTGAGGCTTGCCGTATCTAGTGGCTAAAGCTTTACCCCACCCCCCCTCAATCTCGCCCACCACACAGCGACATAATATGGAACCAAGTTGCTTGCTGACCTGCTGTCCATCTTACACCTCTCTACAACATGTGGACGCCAAAGAAGCGACAGCGCGTGACCCGCGCTTGCGATCTGTGTAAGAGGAAGAAGAAGCAGTGCAGTGGCACTCAGCCATGCGCCACATGCCACAGCAAATCTGCGTCATGTATCTTCTCCGCTCAGCGCCGGCCTCAACATCAGCAACACCAGAACCAACACAAACACTCCCATTCTCGCTCTTCCTTCCCACCTCACGAGCACAGCGACAATAGTGCGTCTGATAGCCCAGATGGCCCCCGCCGCCACAAGGCGCCCAGTAACAATCGGACGGCGAGCGGTGGCCTCGACAGCACTCGACCACAAGCCCCGCCTTCCCCCAAGGAGTCTGCGAGTGAGGATGCGACGCCTATACAGAACCGCGGTCGGTTATTACGGGATGGCGAAGGGCGACTCGGTGAGCAATATCATGGCTCTCGCCAATGTGCCGTTGTACTTCGCGCATGACTTGCAAGTATGGGCACCACGCGCGGTCCGCAACTGACGCGCTTTCAGTGTATCTGGGTGACTCGGCGACACTGTCCTTCCTCCAAAGCATCCGAAGACTTGTCGAAAAAAGACTGGGGCCTTCGCCATTCACCACCGACACGAATCGTCACAAGATTCTAGAGGCCACGGTCGCGAGCCGTGACGCTGTACAACACAACTACGCCTTGCCCGACCTAGAGACGGCTAGATGCTTGGTGGATTCATTCTTCACAAGTGTATTCCTCTGAGCATGTGGTTATATGCTCCATTGATCTAACTTCTGTCCAGACCGCAGGGCTATGTGATATCTTCGACAGGCAGTCTTTTGAAAGCAAGGTCTCGGAGACCTTTGAACATCCCCTAGATGCTGACCCGCAATGGCTATGCCAGGTCAACCTTGTCTTTGCCGTAGGCTTTCAGATGCGCAACGATCGGTCAATTGGGAATGACAATGCGAGCAAGATATTAGACAGACTTGAGCGCCCCGGAGTGAAGAGAGCAGAAAGATTCTATCTTGCTGCAAGACAACTCAGTGACCCAGCCGTCGATTTTGAAGCCGGCGGAATTGGGGTTTTGCAGTCACTCATGCTGATCATGTTGTATATGCTTGCTTCATCCAAAAGAAGCTCGGCCTGGGGATACTTGGGTGCGTTGAGATGTCGCCACACGGGAGGGCTGCAACAAATCGCTGATTTTGCTGCAGGAATGGCCGTCAATCTCTCATATGCGCTTGGTATCCATAAGGAGGAGACACTGCCAATCTTTGACTCACTGCAGCAAGCTAGAAGGTCAGAAATCTCGCAATTCACCCCATGCAAACATCTCGTTATTGGCTTGGTACTTACGTTATTTATCAAGACGAAACCTTTGGCAGTCTCTATATGTCATGGATTGCTTTCTGGCGACCAGTCTTGGTCGTCCTAATCACGTCAGCTGTGAGACAGCCTCAGAGTTGTGCTCGACGCCAAGTCAATCCTCTAGCAGGCCCACGTCTTCTGCGGGGAATGATTTATCCTTCGCAGTAAACGCCTCGAAGATTGTCGGCAAGATCTTAAGCCGAGTCTATCACAAAAGAAAGGCGTCTCGTTCTATTGCGTATCAACTCTCCCTTTGCTTTAGCGACTGGTCGCAAAAGCTCCCTCCGGATTTACACTGGCGGGTTTCATCTTTCCAAAGCCAAGACCCTACTTTGACCCTTAAACGTCTACACATCAACTTGATCTGCTTTCATGGCATAATCATTCTTACGCGCCCTTTCTTCCTTCACCAAATCAGTAGACAGGTTGCCGAGTTGGAGGGAGACTCGATAGCTCAGAAGGACAACCACATGGCTAACAACTCACGGATAGAAAAGGAACACCCGGAACAGACATTCCGCTTCGATAGCGCTTGTGTGCGCGCGGCATTGCACTCTGTTACAGCCGTGAACAACGCATTTACCACAGACGCACTACCCAGACGGAATCCTTTTGTCATGTATGTGAATACCTTTTGCAACTCATCTAAGTATAAGAAGTGACAATTTGCAGATACTGGTTATTCTCAGCCGCCCTTATCATTCTTGCCAACCTATTCTCTCCGGTATACCGTGAAGCGGACAGCGAATCCACCGTGCGTATGGCGTTGAAGATCATGCGCTTTTGTGGAGAAGCAGATCCCCAAGCTCGGCGCTACCAAACCATTCTTGAATCCTTCCTTGAAGCTTTACAAGAAGCTGAAAAATCCAAGGAACAGGCCATGAACAAGGCGTCTCAAACATCTGATCTCTTCAGCATGATTTTCGGGAACGAACCGTCCAATATCAGCGGAGGTGAATCCCCGGCACAAACTCATAATCGGATGCCAGCGGTTTCTACAGCTCCGGTGGCCTGGGCAGATGACCAATTTCCAACACCAAACATCATGGGCGGGCTCGAAACACTGTGCTTTGCCACCGGAATCAACGGGAGGGTCGGGGAGCCTTCATCTTCGATGGATGTTTTGGATGGTCAGTGCGATAATTCTATGGATAGCGGCGACATCTGGTGGGGTGGGGGACAAGACGTTTTCTTCACCGCGGGTGATGTTCAAGTGCCACTATATGGGCTGATGGAACCGACGTAGTGTAGTAATACTGCTATATTAGTCTCATATAACTCGGCCCCCTTTCGAACTGTTTAGAGCGTGATCCAATAGGTGTCACGGGTTGTAAGCGACTAGGTTCAATCGAAAGACCGGTTACATTCAACCAGGAAATACCTAGGAATGAAAGTTCTAACTGCGTGCGAAATAGAGTGTTTATTCTCGTTCAGATATAGTTGCACTTTCACAGTATAGTTTCTCCAATTAATTCGGCTGAATCAATGGTAGAGGAATCAGTGTTTCTAGCAACTTGGTCCTGTCCAATCTTGAATTTTACTACCCGAAGTCGGGAATATATTCAGTAGCTATGTTCACCCAAGCCCATCACGGTTACGAGAATAAATTTGTCCGAAATTCCCTTTCGATCCTCTCACAGAGTCTCCCCCCTAGTCCAACCTATCTTTTGCTATAAAGCTGAGTGCATCGGCAAAACTCTAACAAGTTAAACAGTTCCGTTGTCATGCACCACACTGACCTCTTTCTCATCGATATGCAGTGAATCAACATGGGCATCAGAAATGTAGTTCTTGAATTGCCGAGCGGGGATTCGCTTTTGGAACATTTCCTCGAGTTCGAGATAACTACGGCCTTTCATTTCGGGGAAGCAGAAGTAAAGGTAGATGCAAATGATGAGCGATGGTGCGAAAAATACAAAGGCGATTTTGGCGCCCAGATTGGCCGAGCTAGGATTGATCAATATTGGGGTCACTTGACTAACCAGCGTAGCGGACAGGGTTGTAAACATCAAGTTGATCGCATAGGTCTTTTGACGCACGCGAACTGCTGGAGTTTCACCGCCAACCGCATAAGCCGTTGCCCCAAGTGTGAATTGATACTACAGTTTCGCGTTAGTGAGGGGGGCTCTATGAAGAATTTGTTGAAGGCAAGGTCATTACTTGTCTGGAGTGATTTGTCGAAACATACCAGGAAGCCCCAGATAGTCATTAGGGCGACTGTCGCTCGAATAGCCGTTTTGTCATTTTGAATGGTACCCACTCCCCCGATGACCAAAAGCGTGACGGTAATGACGATCATTCCATGCACCACCAATGGCCGACGACCTACTCGGTCAACTATAAACCAAGATCCAATGTTTCCCAACAGTTGAACGGCGTAACTGATTTGGACAATCCCGATCGGATTTTTGACACCGGCGATGGTAAAGTAGTATCTATATCATGTCCATTAAAATTCTCCCCATAAGTTTCAAGAATTTCGACTTACGGTAAATATCCAGTAATGAATCCAACTCCCGAAACCTGTTGAGCGAGAAACATTACGCAAACAATGGTAGTTCTCCTCAAATTTGAACCTTTGAAGCAATCGAGATATGAGACATTCTCCTTCTCCTCTGCCTTCTCCTTTTCAATGGCAGTTTCCAACATTGTGATCTGGTTTTCTATGTTGAAATTCGGGCCATTGAACCTTAGGAGCGAGTGCGCGGCTTGCTCCCGCCTTCCCTTTATGATCAACCATGAAGGGGATTCTGGTAGCAAAAATATTCCGAATATCAACATCAGTCCAGGAGGTGCCAACTGGGTCAAAAGCAGCGCTCTCCATGCCCAGTCGTTTTGGATATGTGATGTGCCGTATCCGACAAGTGCACATAGCCATTGACCAATGACGATCATGCCGTTCTGTATCCTTTGTTAGATTTGCCTGGCCAATCCTTCAGAGTATTACTTACGACCAATGCTAAACACACGCCCCGGATTGAATCAGGCGCAATTTCAGCAACATACACTGGGGCTAAAGTGTGGCCAAGTCCAAATCCAAAAGTGCTAACAAACTTCCCGCCAAATAACATCATGATCGACGTGGAGAATCCTTGTATAAAGATACCAGCAACACAAATTGTAGACGCCAGCACAATTGTCCGTTTCCGTCCAATTATGTCAGAAGCAAATCCAGCAGTCAACGATGCAGCAAACAAACCGCAGGTGAATGCAGCATTCAAGACCTGCTGGTCGTAGGTTGAAATTTCGCGTAGGCCATTGGGGAGTGGAGTTCCAAATCGAAGGAGGAAAGTAGGGATAGCTAGAAGATTTCCGGTTGATGCCGCTTCGTATCCGAAGTTTATAGGAAGGATGAATATCATGAGGCCTGGAAATCTGATGTCAGCCATGTCCACCCAGGGGACAGGATTGTAATCAAGCTTTAACATACACCACCCCAGTATCCTTTTGTGCCTCCAGAGTTCCGAGAACCCTAGCCCTGTCGGCTTTGAGGCCAGAGGCATTTCGTTCATTGTTACACTAACTTTCTGGATCTGATTTTTGGTCGTCTCGTGAAAGTCTCTATGATCTGTTGACGGCTTAAGAATGTGGTAAAGTGGAAGCCAGCGTGTTTGGAGTGAGGAAAGGGTTGTATATCGTCAGTCCCTGGAAAGGACATCATGAGATCTTTATAGAACTCATATCAACTTTGTTCTAGACTCGTCCCAATGCGAAGCGTAGATCTCCGTGAGGGGAGCATGAGGATTCGGAAGGAAGCAGCCAAGCTTTCTGTGGGGTAGATAGCCGAGTTGACCAATCAAGGACACCACCAGGCGTCCGGGTCCTAGCGACCCCAGACCCCAGACCCCACATCATTCAAATAATCGGGACTTGCGAGGTTCAAATTCGCCGTAGCGCAATAATTCTAATTTCGCCGTGGGGAATATCCTCATCTTGCCGTGGTGCAATGTCCTCAATTTCGCCGTGGTGAAATGTCCTTAATCTCATTGTGGCGTATTATGCACAATTCTGCCGCGGCACCAAGTCCCCACCCTCTTTTCTCTCGCTAGCGCCTCCCGGGCCATATCAGAAGCGCATTTCGGGGAGTATCTTCGGCAAGTGATATCCAGCCTTAGGTTGTTTATAATTCAGCTAGTCTTAGTTGTGTGATATGACTAAGAACAAGCCAGAGGGATGCCACCAGGAGCCAGATGCCGGGAATCGAACCCAACCTGCTAAGTCACTTGCCTTGCCTAGACCGTAGATCTGGCACCGCTGGAGCTAGAAAGTCGTTCTCCATAGCTTCCCCTAACCTCCTGTCCTCACTTAGCTAGCCGTACGATTCTTAGAGCCCTGAGGTCTGCGTGGACCTCTCTTCTCCGGCTCCGTCCCAACGAGACGAGGGCGGAAACCGTTTCACCATTTTTAGCTCCCAACTCTCTACTAGTCCCTTTTCAATCACACTATTCGCCATCTCTGTTGAAATTAAGGAACATGTAAGAGAAGAGTAGAGCTTCATTATGTTTTAAATTCTTCGTGGCCAAGATAGCCACTTGATGGACAGTCCTGAATTCAAAAATGCATTCTGAGACTCGAGCTCCTTAGCCGCTGTATCTTGGTCTGTAGTTTCAACCAGCTAATCTATATCCCGTGAACAAACACAGCGTACAAATCAGGGGCGATTTTCGCAGATGGAGCGACCTGCTATAGCCATGCAGAACGCCAGGCCAGAACCTCCTTCCCCGCCTGCTCCTTCAATTGTATGACCAGGTCTCCACTAGGAAACTTCTTTATACCCACTACTCCTGCGTTTTCTGTCTTTCTCACTACTCGCTGTAGTATTGTTTGCATTTGCTGTTTCTCGTATTGTTTTGCGATCCGTAGGGTCTGTGACCCGCACTTTGAATTGTTGTAGAGTAGTTGATGATGGAGCGTGGCTCGATATCGCTGCTCATGTAGGGTTATTCGGAATAGCCGGGATTGTAGGAGGCGTAGTTGCTATAGATGAGGTGCTTCCCAGCTTACGAACGGCTTTATAGGTCTGCTTGACTGAGTGTGCAATATTGTCGTAGTGGTCATGTGTCGCTAACGCAATAGCAACGAATTTCGTAACGCTGTCGAAGAGATCCGGCAGCTGCCTCACTATGACTGCGAAGTTGTCTCCTCTGTGGCTCGTGCCCCCTTTACCTATAAAATCCTCGGTAACCATGATGATTTGCCCTCCTTAGCTTGCTAGTTCTGCGTGTGCCATTGTCAGTGTCGGTCGCGGCTCGCAACAGCGGCAGATCTGGACTCTCCGACGACGATGACGACGACGGTGTCACCATCGAGCAAGAAGAGAATCGTTCGACTTCTTAGTTTATTGGCGCTCGATTGGTGTTGGTTTCAGCGCTGTGCGACCAAAGGTCAGGTTTCGCCAAAATTGATGTCTCTGACGACGAAACAAATATGTAGTTGTTCAGAACTTTGGTTCAACCAATGTACTCTTTGTTGAGCTCGTCCGATGCGCGAGAATTGAGTTTCGCGAGGACATCCAGGAGGGGAGAAAAAAGCGACTTCGCACGAGAAACAATTTCAGGTGCGTTGGCCAGTTGCATCACCTCGAGGATTGTGGCACCTACTCGGCGAATTTTTATCACCTTTATCGATAGAAGTAAGTACTAGGCAGAAATAGTGAAAGTAGGTGAGTCGAAAACACTTACACAAGCTTCTCCATTGGCTCGAAGTGAGTCAAATGGGACACCGGTAATAACGTTTATTAGGTCATGAGCGATTTCTGTCTTTCTCGGGGCTAACATCACTCTTTCGTCGCTCAGCCCGAGTAGACAACCCAACCCAAGGTCGATGAATCTTTGCAAGAGGATCATTCTGAGGCAATGATATGTCACTAAAAGATTAGTACGTTGCACCCAGAAGTTCCGTCGCGGATTCTCTGTCGATGTCGCCTCAGTCGACATTTCAGTTTCTGGCGATTGAAGAAAAAGAGGAAGATTATCTAGCACACTTAAAAAACGCAAGTAGGTGCCGGTCAGGCCCATCCTTTGTGCTTCAGCAAGCATGACCGCGTTTTCGTCACATTGGCAAAGCCGTGTCAGAGTCTGAAGATCAAGAACTACCCTAGAAGCAGTGGCCCATAGTCGTTGACTGATATAGAATCCAGTAAAAATTCGATCCTCGAATTCGATTGAATGTATGGTCGTAACTGGATCCAGGAGTTGAACTTCCAATTCATCCTGAAGTTTGGTCGTCATGGATCCATGTAAAGAAAACTCGTGAAGGGTCATTGGGCGATCTTCGAGTAAGGCCGAGTGTTTATCCATTATGAAAAGCTGCCAAAATGCCGTTCGACGGAGCCTAGCTTCCACAGGGTCCAAACCTTCGAAAGAGCGTTCCTCATATAGGCGCATTTGCTCAGCCAGTCTTAAAGCCTCTCCCAATACTTGCCAGGCCACACGTATTTTGCCATCAGTGTGCAAAGCGCTGGCGTGAAACATCCGAATCACCAGTGAGCTAGCATCGGGTCGCTCAATGTCGAAATCTTGGTAGAGTTTGAGCATTTCACGGGACGTATGGAGGAATATATTTCCAACAAGAGCTGGGTTAGGGACACTTTCAGGCGTCAACAAAAAGGCAGTGCCTGCACACAAAGCTACGATAAGGGTGTATGAGCGTAACTTGGCTAGATCTTCTTGACTTTCAGATGAGCCACGAAACCCGCCAGTTAAATCTGAAATTGTCTGTAGGTTTGTCACCAAGGGTGTCTCTAATTTCATGTTCGATCGTATGCTTAGCTCATGGAGCAGCGGGCAGAGAGGGAATAGGCTCTGCATGTGAACGTCGATACATTTTTTGATGATCTGCTCGAGCGTGAAGTTCGGCATGCAGAACCCTAGAGCGAAAACGAGATCGTGGTGGAGAGCTTGGATGCTAACGTTGATGTCCGTGCTGGTTTGACTTGTAACGTTTGAAGGCGCGATTCCCATCCATGGAGAAGTTAAATGCTCATCACTGATTGCGTGGGGCGCTTCAAGAGATGAAACAGTTTCGGCTGAAAGGGGGAGGGCCACGTTTGGTCCATTCGAATTCGAAGGCTCTTCGCTATGAGCCGATCGGTTGCCTCTCTGCTTACGGCTTTGGTGCGTAGATTCGTTAGGCTTGGGCCCCCGCTTTTTGGGTACTTGTAGATACTGGCAAGAAAGATCCGACATGCGACAATTGGAACATGGGGCTGTTGGTTCAAAGCCATCACACTGCGAGAAAATGTCAGATGATGTTATAGCTCCTGTGCAGGGTCAAGCGAATGCTCTGTTGACTGGGTCCGCACCTTGACCTTTCGGGCCTTGCAGGCATCACAGGCGCGCGGAGGCATCACAAGCACGGCCGGGGGGGCGTCTCTGGCAAAAATCTCTTTCGGCCAATGTCGTTCTGCGGAAACGACGGATTTCTGTCGTTGAGGAAGGCAGGAAAACTCTTGAATTCGTGTGGAAAATTCCCCACGGGGATTTCACCCGCTAGCCCACAGAGCTGCAAATATCTCCGGCTCGACCCCGGTCCGACTTCGGGCCAGGCTGTATGGGGCATCGAGCATTTAGACCACTAGCTAGACCAACAGTTAGACCACAAGTTAGACCACCAGCTCGATCACAATATCGACAGTCATTTTCTCAGATACACTTTTTTTTTCAATTACCATGGCGGACAACCATTACGATAATTATCTTGAGGATCTCACTCTCTCTATTGGCAAAGTGCAATTAAAAGGTTTCGTCTCAAAGCAAGGCATCGCGAATTTCCTGAATATACCTTACGCACGCGTCCCCGTACGATTCAGAACTGCGGTACCTATCTTGATCTCTGCCCATAGCAGATGCCTTGATGTATCTCGCTACGGTCCGAGATGTCCACAGAAAGCTGATGGACTTCAAGCTTCCATTGCGCACGTGTTTGAGAAAACATCGTTATCGCGGGCACCAGATGAAACGAATTGTCTTCACTTGAATATTTACGCCCCTCAGGCAACAACTTGCTTAAATGCTACCTCAAATTTGCCCGTTTTTGTGTGGATTCATGGAGGCGCCTTTAACATTGGGGACAATAGCACTCAATTTGGTATGTTCTGCATCTGCGCTAAACAAACATATCGTTAATTACCGTTCTTCAGATGGAAATTTTCTTGTAAAAAGATCATTGGAGATTGGAAGACCTATTATCATCGTGACGATAAACTACCGTCTAAATGTATTTGGATTTTTATCATCACGAGAGCTGATTGAAGAAGCGAGGGGTCTAGGCGAGAAACCCATATCAAACCAAGGTCTCAATGACCAAAGAATTGCGCTTCGGTGGATTCAATCCTCAATCCATCATTTTGGGGGTGATGGTTCAAGGATTACCGTTGCAGGAGAATCAGCTGGCGCTGCATCTGTCCTGTGTCATCTGACAGGAGGACTGCCTCTCTTTCAACAAGCTCTTCTCCAATCTCCTCCTGCTCCTCGATTGCGGACGCCACAAGAGGCACAGACGGACTTTGATGATCTCGTTGAACATGCTGGTATTCCGTCCCATGCTTCGGGCACCGAAAAGCTTGCGGCACTTCGAGGTCTCACTTCAGAGCAACTCGTGGAGATTTTCGACGGGAGGCTCTCCTTTCCTATCGAAGACTCTCACTGGTTTGTGGGTTATGACCGAAATAATCAGGACCAGTCGACATTCTGGGGTGATATTCCTACCTGGTGCAGCAGAATTGTTTTTGGCAACACTCGAGATGAAGCGGCATTGCTTCTGGCACTTTCAACTAATCTTCCGACACGAGAAGTGGTGGAATTTTCGTGCGCGATCATGCCACATATACCTATCCCTGACAGAATATTTAAGGAAGAATGCACCCGGCAGGAGCTTGTCGCTTGGTCAACTAAGGAAGCATTTATCAATCCCCTTCTAAAGGTCGTATCTTCAGCTGCCAACAAAGGAAGTCGTGTCTACATATACAGGATCGATAGTACTGACCCGTTTCCTGGACCACTACAAGGATTTGCTTGGCATTCGTTCGGCATACCATTGACATTCTACCAACCACCTTGCCGAGTCTATCCCGAGCTTGCTTCAACCCAGGATCATATGAGTGTCGCTTTCTTGGACTTTTTTCACGGGTTGAAGCCATGGGAGGAGTTCAATCAGGCACAACGTATGATAGTCTTCAAGGACAAATCAACGACAATGGTCACTATTGATGCGGCAGCAGTCAAAGAAAGAAAAAAGTCAGATTAGATGAAGCCTGTATCTGAATACCGCTCACTAGATAGATATTTCCTGAATGCAGATCAGTTCATGGTCCCTTGTACACCACAGGCCCATGGGCAACTGACTATCCTGCGGAGGAGGACGATTATGAGGACGAAGAGAGGATGAATCTTAGTTTTACATGTCGCAACAAACTTTTCTCGGAGTTATTTTCTTTACTATCTAACTTACTTTAAGTATAGAGCACACATCCTTGTTGTATCTTAGATACTAAACTAGAGCCGGTTTGATTGCTAATGTTGTCATTCAATACTAAATATTTAATTGCTTTCTCCGTGGTCACGACAGTATATACTTTAAGCTCCCGTCTCCTAAAGCCAATACGAGGTTATTGTAACGTACAGTATGTACCAGCGGTGTTCTACACTACTCTGGTTGTGTTTGGCTAGTAGGCGTGGACGTTGTCACTGAATCAAGACCGATAAGACGTTTCAAGTATAAGAAGATATACCGTTTGTGTTGAACAGGAAGCTCCTCAATATGGGTGACGGCCCAGACTATCTAAAACCTTCGTGTAACTGGATCATGTTGAGGTCTTAATGATACATCATGAATCTGCCTCAATTCGGACATGCCGAAATGTGCTAGATCCTGGTGCCAGGGTCTTCCACTTCTCTCCCAGCGTTCCTGGGAGTTTTCGGTTCATAGGAGCGTCAAGTGCGTACCTACAAACTAGAAGATTAAAGACGACCTGGGCGTTAAATACTTTTCGTGAACATAGAGGAAGTGAGCTAGTAATAGTAAAGAATTCTTTTAGTAAAGTAAATAATATAAATAATATATTAAAGTTTCTTATTATAAAATAATTATAAGCCAATTATATAAACTTACTTTGTATAGCTGTATTTAATATATATATTATATATTATTTTTTATATCTTTTAATAATATTAATAAAATGAAAAATTCTAATTGTTTTATAATATATAATTTAATATATACTTATATTAAATTAAAATTAAAATAGAATTTAAAGTAATTTAATAAGGGTTTTAATAAATATATAAGCTTTATTTTATATATTAATTTTAAATAATTTAAAAACTTAGCTTTTAAGCTTATTTCTATTAGTATAATTTCTTTAAAATACTTAAATATTTATATTTTTATTTAACTTTTTATTAAAACGTCTTATTAAAGCTTTATATAATTATATCAAATTATAAGTAAACTTATTTATTTTAGTAATATCTCCTTTTAAAAGTTATAACTTTTCTTTATAAGAGCTAGTTATATATTACTTTATTACTTAAGAGTTTTATATAGAGCTTTATTAAATAAGTTAAACTAATTCCTTATAACTGCCTTATTTAATAAAAGCCTAATAATATATAATTTCGTTTTCTTTTTTACAAGTACCTTAAAAATATACTTTCCATACGTGACTAAAGATAGACCTCGGTAAAGGAGTAAAGGTGGGGAGAGGTGATCACGCGATGGGGATTAAAGTCTATCACTTGAGCAGGGTATATTTCGATATAAATCTGCGTTTTCTATGCACCCCTGGGGGGAGCGGGGGATGTTCTCTTTCAGACACGATCGGTATCTCTTGAGGCCATTTATTTTTCTTTCGGATATAGAAAAAGTGGTGGTACAGGCGTACTCTACTGCTCTCATATGCCCATGCCTAGCCCCACTTTTGGGGCCCTCGGACCGGGGCAATGAGATTGATAATGGTTATTATTAGAGTTCACGAGTGGATGCACGCTAAAGTAGGAAATCGGAAATCTACCGACAGTGGTACCGAGAATTATCCGCCGTCGGTCAGCGGATTACCGGTGATGCCTGCGCACTTTCCGCAATGGCGGCCGGCAGCATATAATAGTCGGACTTGACGTCGCGCTAAAGGGGCCCTTCCCTTTAGTCGGGGAAAGCGAGTTGTCCCGGGAAAGCGAGTTGTCCCGCACCGATCCCAAAATTTTCCAATTTATATAGAACACCCATAGTAAAAATCAATTATTTTGATCACCACCAGCCCAAATCACCCTGAAAATCAGTCAAATTCAATAGCAATGGCTCGCCTAAGTAACCTCCCCAATAATGCACTTCTCCGCGATATGCCAGAGAGAGATAAGCTCCGTGAAGCTATTCAATTCCTCAAGGCTAACCCAGAAGAGACTCCTGCGACTGCGGCACGCGCGTATTGCGTACGAAATGAAGATACAGTAAAGAAAGCGTGGCAGAGAGAGAGGAAGAAGATGGGAATAGCAAGAGTATAATGGGGAGGCTAGAATAAGATCTTATGTCCTGATTAATACGAGGCATTAATTCAGTACGCGGTATCGCATGCGATTAATAGAGGGAAAGGAGCTATAAAGCAAATGATATATAACTGTATAATGTGGATGCGAACGGAGGATAATAAGACAGCTCTATCTTGGAAATGGTTCTCTTAATGGCTAAAGAGTACTTCAGAACTCTATATGATTAAGACGAAGCCTATTACGAGCTACCGTATTGATTTCCATACCGAACAGAGCCTCCGCAATTGGTTTGAGACTAAATATCGTCCGGTATTGGAAGAAACTAGTATATACTATGGGGATCGGATATATAATATGGACGAGAAAGGAGTACGAATTTGTATGCCTGCAGGAGAGGAAGTAGTGGTTCTAATTGGAATCAAGGAGATATATATAGGAATACTAGAAAATCGCATGTCTCTTATAATAATTAAGTGCATATCTGCAGATGGCAAGGCAATTTCTCCGGTAGTAATTATCCCTGGAATTATAATTATGGTTTCTTGGTTCTACGAAAATATGACCGGTTATAAGGTTATTATAGTCTCTCCTATAGGATATACGAACGAGGGCATTTGTATGGTTTGGTTAGACTATTTTATTAAGTATAATAATTGCGGTCCTAATAAGAAATGGCATATTCTCTTGATTAACGGAGTAACTTGCTATTAAGCGGACGATTTTATCCTAAAAGCTACGTTTAATAAGATATGAATCGTCTAATTCCCCTCTCACCAAACCCACTTACTTTAACTATGTGATATTAGTGTTTTTAGGGAATGGAAACACTACTAACAGGTTAATATTATAAATGCAATTCGCTCGTACGAGCCGGAATATAACGTCCAGTGCTTCTTTCGCGATCTTCCTGGAATACGGGAGAAGACATTTACTATTCGTATAATTAAATACGCCTTTCAGAATACTAGAATTTGGCCTGTTAGTTTCAAAGCAGTACAGAGAAAGCTTAAGGAGTATAGTAAAAAGAGAAGGAAAGATACTGGCCTTTAATTTCTGGAGTTTGGATCTGAATCGGAAACTGAATCAGACGCAGAAAACGCAGAAAACGCACGATTTACCACGCCTGCTCCTGCTCCTGTTTACGAATACTAATTACCTACCCTTCCAAAACCTTCTTCTTTATATAACGAATGCGTTCTATGGCTCGATAATCTCAATAACAAGATTCTGGATACTTTAAGCTCCTCCCCTCGCAAAGAGTATTCAGTCACGATTAAGGCTACTAAGAACCACCTAATGCTTGGAAGTTTACAAGAGCTAGATGCCCAGAATGCTCGCAAGGCACAGGTTAAACGTCATAAGGCTAAGCTAAACGTATGGCTTAGTTTCCAAAGGGAGAGGTGGTTAAATGCATCTAATACTCTGGAAAAGAAGAAGATTAAAGTGAGAAATATAGCAGAGGAGGAGCTAAAGAAGGCTAAAAGACAGCTCGCAAAGGCTAAATTAGCTGAAAAGGAAGCTCTCAAAAGAGTAGGAATCGCCGTACGAGCGGCAGAGAGAGAGAGGAAGAAGAGAGTAAGAGATCTGGAGGCACAAGCAAGGAAGCAAGTCCTTGGAACTAATATAATTATCCCTCCCGAGCTTCTAATACCAATTCGCGATCCCCAAACCGAACCTACGGAAAGCGAGCTTGAAGCCATTCGAATTAAGTACTAATTACTTTATGATAAGGTAGCTAAGGAGCAAGCTGAATTCGATCGTATATAGGCCGAAGATCCCGTAATCTTTACCGATATCCCTATTAATCCTGTAATACTTGTATCTGAACAAGCTTACCGGGTAAAGGGGAACCCTCTTAGTCAATTATATATACGGGCAATATTAGAGGAGTCTAGGGGATTAGATAAGGAGGTAGAGGAGGTACGAGAGGGTATAAATAGTGGGGTTAGTAGGGAGGAGGTGGTTCTGTATTCTTTACTACCTAGATTAGTAATATTAACTAATTTAATAGCTCAAAATGCAGATTTTGTAGCATTAGAGTAATGAGAGATTATATCCTTAATTACGTATTAATTTAAGGGTTATTTGGTTATGTGGTGTAATTCAAGTATCTGCGATTATATAGAAATTTTGGTATAGTGCGGGACAACTCGCTTTCCCGGGACAACTCGCTTTCCCCGACTAAAGGGAAGGGCCCCTTTAGCGCGACGTCAAGTCCGACTATTAACCCAGTGTGGGCTCCGATAAGCTCGATAAGCAATAATTAGATAATCGCACTAATTTGTCGATAATCGATAATTATTAATAATTGGCAATAATTATCATTCTAGGCGGTAAGGGGCCCGGCAGAATCTGCCCCTCCTGCTCTCTATTCTAATTAATTAATTAATTAATTAATCTTTATACTAGTTCTTTAAAGAATATAACTAATTTGAGATATATTAAAAAAGTAATAATTTGAGTTATTACTTTATTAATCTAATAGCTAGCTAACTACTTTGCCTTAGATATAAAGATTAATTCCCTAATACCTGACCTGGTTACTTTACTAGTAACCCAAGTAAACTAACTATTCTATAGTACTACTATAAGGCATTTGCTAATCTTACTAATATCTATTATTTCTAATCTTATTTATTAGACTAGCTTTATATTCTTTTTCTAGATAGTAACCCGCTTTATATAAATAGCTATAAGATTTATTACTAGAATTAGATTAGTATAAAAATTAGTATAATTAAGAAAAATGACTTATATTTAAACTCTATAATAAGA